TTCATTGTAATGGTCTTGGTATCAAAGCAACTCTGGCCTCAATGTATGAATGGGTGGGTGGGGTATTGCCTCCTCTTAAGTTTCAGGAAGCATTTGTATAAAGTTGATATTGTTTCCTAAATGTTTGGTAGAATTCATCAGTAAGGCCATCTGGGCCTGAAATTGTCTTTGTAGGAAGGTTTTTAAATACAAATTTAACTTCTGTGATAGGTTATCTATTTCTTACTGAGTAAGCTTTGGTAATACGGCTCTTTCATGAGTTTTTTTTTTTTTAATTTCATTGATTTGTTGAATTTATTCGCATAAAGTTGGTTATAATAGTCTCTTTTTTTTTTGGCGGTACGCGGGCCTCTCACCGTTGTGGCCTCTCCCTCCCGTTGCGGAGCACAGGCTCTGGACGCACAGGCTCAGCGGCCATGGCTCACGGGCCCAGCCGCTCCACGGCATGTGGGATCTTCCCAGACCGGGGCATGAACCTGTGTCCCCTGCATCGGCAGGCGGACTCAGCCACTGCGCCACCAGGGAAGCCCTAATAGTCTCTTGTTGTATGTTTAGTATCTGTAGAATCCATTGTGCTTTGCCTCTGGCATTCCCAGTGTCGGTCATCCCAATATCATTCCTGTTCAGCCTGGCTGGAGGGTTATCAGTTTTACTGAAATTCTTAATGAATCAGCTTTTTGTTTCATTCAGTTTTCTATTACTTTTCTGTTTTCTATGTCACTGATTTCCACTCTGATCTTTGATCTGTGCCTCCTTCAGCTTATTGTTCTGTTTGCCCTCCTGATTTTAGATTCTAAAGCTGGAAGCTGAGGTCATTAGTTTAGATTTTTCTTTTATTCTAATGGAAGTACCTAGTGCTCTCAATCTAAACACCCCAATCTATCACTGCCTCCGGCAGATTTGTGTATGATGTGCTGTCATTCAGTTGAAAACATTTCCTGTTTTCCTTCTTGACTTATTCTTTGGCATACAGGTTATTCAGAAACACGTTTACTCATTTTCAACTATTTGGGGATCTTTCTAGGTATCTTTCTGCTGTTAATTTTCTGCTATTAATAACTCAGTTAATATATATATTTTTTCCTTCAGAGAATAAACTTGTATGATTTAAATCTTCTCAAATTTATTGAGATTTGTCTTATTGCTCAGAGCATGGGTCAGTCTTGGTAAATGTTCCTTGGCAAGTGGATAGAATGTGTGCCCTTGTTGGGAGGTGAGTTTTATGAAGGTCTGTCATGACGAGCTGGCCGTCTTCTCTACTGTGGCTGATTTCTTGTTGGCTTATTCTATCAATTACAGATGAGTACTGAAGTGGGTTTTGACTATGCTGTGGGCCCATTTTCCCTTTCTGTCCAAGTCCTTCTTACTATATTTGGAAGCTCTGTCATTAGACACCTAAACATTTGGGACTTTTACATCGTGTTGTTAAATTGACAACTTTATTATTAGGACACCTGCTTTCTGCCCCTGAACGGACTATGCCCGGAAATCTCCTTGTGATATTAACACAGCTGCTCCAGGCTTTTTTTTTTTTTTTTGCGGTACGCGGGCCTCTCACTGTTGTGGCCTCTCCCGTTGCGGAGCACAGGCTCCGGACGCGCAGGCTCAGCGGCCATGGCTCACGGGCCCAGCCGCTCCGCGGCATGTGGGATCCCCCCGGACCGGGGCACGAACCCGTGTCCCCTGCATCGGCAGGTGGACTTTCAACCACTGCGCCACCAGGGAAGCCCCCCAGACTTCTTTTGACTAATGTCAACATGGCATAAATATTTTTAATTTTTTGTGTCATTGTGTTTAAAGTGGGTTTCTTGTAGGCAGCAGATAGATGACCTAACTCTTTAAATTTATCTAATCTGACAAACTCTGTATTTTAATTGGTGTGTTTAAATCATTTAACTTAATTTAATGTGACTTTTTGCAATTCACTGTGACTTTTTACAGGATCGGGCTTAAATCTACCATCATACCCTTTATTTTTTCTGTGTCACGTTTGTTCTTTGTTTACTTTTTCACTTTTAGCTCTTTGTTGTGTCATTCTGTGGTTGTTTGGGGTTTATACCATGTATCTTTTAACTTACCGCAGCCCACCTTTAGTTGATACGTCATTTCAGGTACAGTATGAGGACTTTGAACTTTACTCTTCCTTTGTATATTACCATACATTTTACTTGTGAATATTAAAAAAAAACCCACAATATTCTTTTTGCTTCAAATATTCTTGCAATAAAACAGGGTTACTGAGCTCTCCTCTGGAAACAGCTGGGTCTTTTTGGGTCTTGCTTTTAACATTTGCTGGAGGAGGGCATCCAGGGGGCTTTGATCCAGAGCTATTTTGCCCTCCCGGTGAGGTGAAGCCCACGCCCCCAAGGCTCCTGGGATGTACAAGGACAGGCACTCTGACTGTCGGGGACAGACCTATCCCCAGCATTGGCTGATCTGAAAGATTGTTCCTGGAATCTTTCAGGCAGTCTCCTCCCGGCTGTGGATGTCAGCTCTCACTAATGGCCAGAGAGTCCAGGCTGAACCTCTGAGTCCTGGAGTCCCTGTGCAGCCATCTTCTCCCTGCACTCTGCCCTCTGCCCCCAGACACCTTTTCTTCCATGAACCCCAGCTTCACGACTCCACCCAGGCTGGAGGCTCGGCCTGGGTCACGCGTCCAGGCCCTGGCGGGACCGTCCCTGCAGGCAGAAGCTTTGGGAGCTGACCCAGGCTGCAAACTGACTTTTTGCCATGTGCACAATAAATGTTTGCTAATTACCCCAGTGAGTCACTTGTTTTACTTCTCTCTTTTATGAGCTTTAGACACACATACTTTGTGACTCTCTCTTTAATTGGCTGGAGGTGGTGTCCTGGCCTAAGCTGGGCCCTGGGCCCACCTCCCGGCTCTTCAATCCCCTCTGGTCCCCTGCCTGCCTTTATGGCCACTCGAGATGGTGCAGACTCATCTCACCGCTTCCCTTCCTCACCTTGAATCCACCTTCTCGCCAGGAAGCCCAAACTTTTCTTCTTGAAGGGCAGTGTTGAGAAGCCAAGATCAAGGTGACAAGTGTCCTCCTTTTTATTGCAGCATCATTGACTTAGAATATCGTGTTAGTCTCAGGTGTGAGACACCATAATTCAGATGAGACTTCCCTCAGGGAGGTCGGGCTGAAGGAGCTGCACCCGCGGCCTCAGTGACAGTGGGGCCACAGGGGGGCGAGCCCTCCTCATATAGCTTTACCTCCTTCACGTCAGACTAGCTGGACCCTCTTTGGGCCTCTGTCCATACCCTGTGGTGGTCCTGACATCAGGTGTTGAGCTGTCTCCACACGTGGACACCTGGATGTGCTCGTCACCCGCCTCACCCACCCATCTAGCCAGGCCCTCAGGGGTGCCCTCCTCTGCCCACCTGGGCGCTGGCACCCCACTGGCTGCCCCGTCCAGGATGCCCTGTGCATCTGACCATCCTCTCTGGCTGTCACGGCTCCCGCTCACAGCAGAGGACACAGGGTCACCAGCCCCTGGGCATCCGATGCTCCCAGCTCTACGTCCCAGGCTGGATGCACGTTCGAGAGCTTGGGCTGCCCGCTGGTCTTTTGCTTTGAGAAGCCGGATGGTGTGTGTCACCCAGAGCAGCCAAACAGAGGACCAGCCCACCATTGAGTGGCGGTGACCAGAGACAGACTCAGCATAAACTCCTGGCCCTGGGATGCCTGGAAGATGGCCCCATCTACAGAGGATGCTTTGTTGTGAAATGTGGGACACCCGGGTGGTATCCAGCTGGCACCAGGTTACCTTGACTTCACAACAGACGTGTTAGGATTTGTGCTCATTGGTAGAACCTGGGGTTGAAAAGCACAGTCCCTCTGGGGAAGGTTCAGTCTGACGTGGACAACCTGGCCCTGGGGCTGGGAGGGGAAGAGAAGATCGATCTTGGGGACATGGGGGTCACCGTGCCAGCCTCCAGAGGACAGCACCCGACAGGACGGAAAGTCAGGGACAAGCTGGTAACCTGTTCTGACCCCAAGCATGTTCCTTCTCTCTGGTAACTGACCATTCCCACCAGGGAGGGACTTGGCCATGACCGGTCACACACAGAGCCGGGTAGCTGCTCAGGCAGTTACCCTGATATGTCTCAGGTGCCAACACAGACACGTCGTCCTGGGGCAGTAGGGCCCTGGGAGCCTGGCTTAGAGCCACAGAGCCTAATTCCAATCATTCTGCCTCTAGCTGCAAAGGAAGTTCCCACAAATCTCAACCAGTTGACAGCTGGTGTCTGATTTCCCAGGGCCTCTTGTCTTTGGAGGGTCTGTCTCCATCTGCTGTTAACGCAAAGGGAGTTGTGTTCTCTGAGTTTCCACACCAATTTGCTTTGTCTGCTGCTCTTCATTTCTCAGAATTCCATCAGTAAGAACATCAGAGAAACTGTCTGTATAATCAGGGGTGAGGGAGATTGGAGAAGTTGATTAGAATTACCCAGATGTAGAGGCATAAAGGGTCCAGGATGAGGTAACAAGGTAGGTGTGAAGACCTTAGCTGATCTGCACTGTTGGCAGGCCTACATTTAAAAAATTTTTTTATTTTATGTTGGAGTATAGTTGATTTACAATGTTGTGTTAGTTTCAGGTGTGCAGCAAAGTGATTTAGCTGTACATATTCATACACCTATTCCTTTTCAGATTCTTTTCCTGTTATAGGTTATTGCAGAGTGTTGAATATAGTTCCTTGTGCTATATAGTAGGTCCTTGTTGTTTATCTATTTTATATATGGTAGTGTGTATATGTTAATCCCAGACTCCTAATTTATCCCTCCCCCACATTTCCCTTTTGGTAACCATAAGTTTATTTTCTACATCTGTGAGCCTGTTTCTGTTTTGTAAATTAGTTCATTTGTATCATTTTTTTAGATTCCACATATAAGTAATATCCTGTGAAATTTGTCTTTCTCTGTCTGACTTACTTCACTCAGTATGATCATCTCTAGGTCCATCCATGTTGCTGCAAATGGCATTATTTCATTCTTTTTTGATGTCTGAGTAGTATCCTGTTGAACATATGTATTACATCTTCTTTATCCATTCATCTGTCAATGGACAGGCCTACAATTTCAATCTGAGTCTGATCCGTATCATGGTTCCACTCTCTGTAAGTTCCTTTTAAGGTTAACGTGCCTTCCTTCACTTTTGATGTGCTTTGGAAATTTAACATTTTAGAGATCCCACTCTCCCTGGATTCCATGGGGGCCTGCCCAGCTGCAGCAGACACAGAACGTGAAGTCCCTGTTTGGTGGCCATCACCAACTGTCACTCGGTTCCTTACTACTTCTCTCCCAGGAAGTCCCTACTTTTCTCTCCCATAAACGCCATCCAGTCTGACTCAGGATGACTCTGCCTGGAGTCTCATCTCGCCTCTTCTTCCTACACGTTCCTAGCATCCCTCCACATTTCTTAAACAGCTTAAACAGACTTCTCTATCCAGCTCCTGAGCACTGTCTCCTATGTGCTTTCTTTTGGGGAGCTCCTCAGTTTACCTCACAGTGAGGACAGAGCAGGACCCTCTTGGGAAAGGTCAGTGATTCCCTCCAGGCAGTGGGGCAGGTGGAGGGCTCTTCTCCAAAGAACAGATCAGAAGTTGGGCTCGGGAATAAACCGCATGCCTTACTGTGCATCCACGGAAAAAGTTTGCTTCATGGTCTAATGGATTCTAAGATAGAAGAAAGCATTTCATAACAGGGCTTTTACTGTATTCGGAAAAATTCACACTTTAGCCAAATGAATCAGAAATGGCTTCTTTTTGGCCAAAAGTGTCCATATGTTTTCAAATGCACTAGCAAAGCAAAAGCACAGGAACATTAATTTGCTAAAAGCAGGGCAGAATCACATTTTCCCCTGGAAAAGCTCAGGGGTGGAGAAAGGGAATTGGACGTGTCCTGTTGGATTACATTGAGGACAAACTGCCATCTGGATGAAAGCAGGCGCTGGGGAATGGAGCCCCGCCAGCGCCTGTCTCCAAGGGGCTTCAGCTCTCAGCAAGTCTTCCACCCTCACTTGTGGGACTTCTCTTGGTTCAAGTTGGTGGTGCCCTTACAAGGACACAGGAGAATGCATAAGAAACACTAGTTTGACACAAATAAAGCATATTTTCAACTAGGCAGCTGAGACCATTGAGTTTTTAGAAAGAATTGGATGACTTTGTACTTTTAAAATCTATTTGAGTGGATCACTTTGAATGCATGTGCATTGGGGGTCATGCTCTTGGTTGAGATCCAAGAGCAGACTAGTCTTTGCAGAAACCCAAGCCCGAGGAGGGTGGATTGTGACAGGAGGGAGATGTCCTGCTCATTCAGGACCGACACCAGAATACATCCAACTTGATCTCGCTGAACGCTGGTGCTGATTGGGTACCAGTCTCCTGCTCCCCAAGTCAAGATGCTTTTGAAAAGTGCACTTGTAAATGAGTTTCTGAATTTGGCCACTCTTCTACATCCAGACCAAATTTTAGTGGTGAAATCCAAAGCAACCTGGCATCTGGCACAGAATCCGTATATTATGAGTCCCCCAAACTCTTCAAATGGTAACGAGAAACCCCAAGGTGCTGATGCTGAGTTAGGCATGGCACCTCCAGCCATGACTCCACCACTGGCATGTTTTATACACTTTTATCACTTAGTCAGATAAGGATAAGAATGGGCTCACGAGGGACCACCGTCATCACCAGGGCAGGACCTCATATTCGTATACTGAACATTGACCAATGAGAAGTCCTGGACTTGAGCTCCTGCTCCGCACCAGGTGTCACCCCCAGAGCTGCAGGTCACGCTGTGAACAGCAGTGCCTCCTCTTCAGCAACTCACGTTTTGCTCTTCCCTATGAGAATAACCGAGAAGATTCTTTAAAAAGTATTTATAATCAAGACATTTCATGGGAGATTTTAGGGATCGCAATATGGTGAGTGTGCTTATTGCAGATGAAGAAACCAAGAGCTGGGGAGATGAACTCCTACCGGCAAACAAATGGAAGCCAGTGAAAGACAGTCATTGTCACCTGCTTCACTGTCGTGACTTTGAAGTGGTGGTTGAGGATCCAAGGCCAGCTCCCCCCACCTCCTCCTGGCAAAGGTGACATAGCTACACAGCGATACGACTTGTGCAACAAAATCCAACACGTCCTGGTGATGCCTGAGGTCCCACTGCAAAACACATGCTATCAAGTTGCACCTTTCAAACACTTTTTTTTTTTTTTTTTTTTTTTGGGTACAGGGGCCTCTCACAGTTGTGGCCTCTCCCATTGCGGAGCACAGGCTCCGGACGCGCAGGCTCAGTGGCCATGGCTCATGGGCCCAGCCACTCCGTGGCACGTGGGATCCTCCCAGACCGGGACATGAACCCGTGTCCCCTGCATCGGCAGGCGGACTCTCAACCACTGTGCCACCAGGGAAGCCCCAATTTTTAATATAAGGCACAGTTAGAAATACACTTAATATCATAAGCTGGAACACAGATATCCAATATGGAAGATCACAAAACACCTTTTTCTCTTATTTTATGTGATGCAAGCTGATATTTTTCTTTTTTATTTTCCCGCCCCTCTCATCCCCTTCTCTGTCTTCCCATTTCCTCTCTTGTAATAAATTTATTTATTCTTTTACAAAAAGGATATTTCACCATCACTTACATTGATCTAACGATCTATTAATGGATCAGCCTCCAGTTTGGAAAATAATCTCATGACCTGAGAAGAATTCTTGTTCTTGTTCCCAGGAAGGCACTACAAGAATGTGCACAGCAGCTGTGTCGACAAGGGCAAAAAGTGGAATATCCTCAGTACCCTCAGCAGATAATATATCAAGGAAGAATAGTCACAAAAAGGAATATTAGACATCAGTGAAAGTTTCTAATCTGTAGGTACACTTATCATCTTAGATGACTATCAAAACCAAATGAGTGAAAAACAAATTCTAGAAGAATATGTACAGTATACATCCATTTATTCATTATTCAAAACACAGGAAAGCTGAACAATAAATTATTTAGGAAGAATATATATGCAGCAAAATCATTTAAAAAGAAGGCATGATTAATGTAAAGATTAGGATAACTGTTACTTGGGTGGAGGAGAGATTGGAGGAAAGTGGATGTGTTCAGAGAGATGAGCAGTAGGTCTCATAAGTACTGAAAACATCCTGTATATTAAGCTGTGTAGTGTGTATATAGAGACTCTTATTTTATTTTAAAAACTGTACGTGTACATGCTATACATATGAAACAATATAAAATAAATATTAAAATTGTAAGTAAAATAAATGTAACAGATTTAGTATTTTAAATATCAAGTGTTCATGACTATATTAAATAATATGGTCAGAATGAGAAAAAGTAAGAAAATGTCCAAGAATAAGGAAGAATAAAATAATCATATATCCACATATAAATTGTATTTTGAATAAAATTAATTAAATGGTAAATATTGATGATATACTTTACATAAAACATATATTAACTCTATATGCAGTGTGATATAATTGTGTATGTATATATACACACATACATATTAATATTCATACTTGTAACCCCAATACCTTGTTGAGAATTTTACCAGTGTGATAGCATGAAGGTGTTTTTGATTTTTTCTATACATTTTTCAAATCCTAAAATGAGCACAAATTACTTTGCAAGTTAGAAATGGTAAATGAGTCATTTTAAGTGAGTCAAACTTAGAAGAGTGGTCTAGCTTTTTGTCCTAGTCTGTATGGGCTGCCATAGCGAAATACCAGTTGGGTGGCTTAAACAGACATGTATTTCTCATCATTCTGGAGGCTGGGCACCCCAGGTCTGCACCAGCAGCTGTGGTGTCTGCTGAGAACCCTCCTCCTGGTTTGCAGTGGCCGTGCTCACATTCTCTTCTGTTAAATCAGAAATCCCATCACGGGGGTCCCACCCTCATGGCCTCATCCAACCATCATCACTTCCCAGAGGCCCCACTTCCAAATATCTTCTTGTTGGGGATTAGAACTTCAACATATGAACTTGGGGGACACAAACATTCAGTCCATAGTGCTCTCTCTTCCCTAATCTCTGACAAAATGTCAGAGAAGCCTCAAAAATATCTGCTAACGCAGCACGGTCTGCAACGTAGACACCACATTAAATTAAGACAAGAACAACCATGCTTAGATGTAATTCAGCCTCAACACTTGGTTATGTCAACTCCTTAGGACCCAGAAAGAAAAATATTTACCCATTGGGAAAGTGGGAATACAGTTTCAGATCCCAGTGCATAAAAGGGACAAAATAGAAAACTCCACCCCAAGTTAAGAGGTCCACTCAAACCGTACCCACTCACTCAGCTCTCCTTTCTGAGAATCCGCGATGACAAGCGGGGCGGGGTGTAGACTCTCCTTGTGGGGTGTCTTGCCAAGTGAACCTTCATCCCTTGGAGCTATTTATTACCTGTGAGCTCCACAGACTCAGTCCAGACACAGAGTTTTCTGCATTTTTAATTAATAATTCCAGGTATTTAGAAATATTCCAGGTATTTAGAAATACTCATTTCCATGCACCCATATTCTCTATAACATTCATGTTACTCTTTTAGAAAGAGACACAGAAAAATTATTAATGGAGATGTAAAGTGTAAAAATATTAAAGAGAATTATAATCAAAGGAAGTTATTTTATAGGATTCGCCTCATGACTATGAGTCTTGGTCCTTTTAATTTGGAAAACATAAGATGTTTACCCCAGTTTCCATGCATTTTAAGAGCACGTATGAAATAAACCCCTCCATACTATGTTGTAGTTTTTATCTTAAAGTTGATTTACTTTTCAAAAATTAAGAAAAAGAAAAAATAGTCTTTTATATGTATGCATACATTTACCAGTTCGGGACTTCTTTCTAAAGATCCAGGTTTCCAGCTGTTATAATTCCTCTTCTGCCTGAAGAAATAACTTTATAATTTCTTATAGTACAAATTTACTGGCAGAATATCCTCTCAGCTTGTATTATTTGAAAATTATTTATGTTCCTTTATTCTTGAGGAATAATTTCTTTGGTAATAGACCCTCTTAACAGACATTTTTCCCCTTCATTTTTGAAGGATAATTTGCTGGTAATAGATTCCAAGTTAGCTGACTTTTCCCCCTTTCTTTCAACATGTTAGAGAGATTCTTACATTGTCACTGTCACCATTGGTCCCTTAGGTGTAAGTGATTTTTTCTCAGGCTATTTTTAGGATTTCCTTTTGTGTATCTCTCACAGTTATGATGTGCATAGGTGTGGATTTCTTTGTATATATTCCACTAGGGTTTGTTTCACCAAATTTGGGACATTTTTGCCCTCTCTTCCTCCAAGTGCCTGTCTGTTCCCATCCCTCCCTCCTTTACTGATGTCCCGACCATGGATGTGAAACCTCTTCATATGGCCCCTGGGTCAGCTTTTATCAATCTGGATTTTTTCTGAGCTTCAGTCTAGATTGTTTCTATCCAGGTCTCTTTTCGAATTTATTCATCTTTATTCAGCATTTTCCATTCTGTTGTTAAGCCTACAAACTGTATGTTTTTACTTCAGATATTGTAACTTTGTGATTTAGAATTTCTGTTTGGTCCCATTTCCTAACCTGCCTTTCTCTGCTCTCTCCTCCCATCTGTTCACTCTGTCTTTCCTTCTTCCCTATAAATCCTTGATTTACAATGTTTTTTAAACATTTTTATTGAAATACAGTTGATTTACAATGTTGTGTTAGTTTCAGGTATACAGTAAAGTGATTCCATTATACATATATATGTATATATATTCTTTTTTTACATTATCTTCCATTATAAATTATAAGATATTGAGTATAGGTCCCTGTGCTCTACAGTAGGTCCTTGCTGATTATATATTTTATATACAGTAGAGTGTATGTGTTAATCCCAACCTCTTAATTTATCCACCCCCCCACCCCCTCTTTCCCCTTTGGTAACCATAAGTTTGTTTTCTACATCTGTGAGTCTGCTTCTGTTTTATAAATAAGTTCATTTGTTCCATTTTTTTAGATTCCACATATAAGTGATATCATATGATATTTGTCTTTCTCTGTCTGACTTACTTTATTTAGTATGATAATCTCTAGGTCCATCCATGTTACTGCAAGTGGTATTATTTCATTCTTTTTTATGGCTGAGTAGCATTCCAGTGTATATATGTACCACATCTTCTGTATCCATTCCTCTGTCAATGGACATTTAGGTTGCTTCCCTGTCCTGGCTATTGTAAATAGTGCTGCTATGAACATTGGGGTGCATGTATCTTCTTGAATTAATGTTTTCTTCCAGATATACGCCTAGGAGTGGGATTGCAGAATCATAGGGTAGTTCTATTTTCAGTTTTTTAAGGAACCTCCATGCTGTTTTCCATAGTGGCTGCACCAATTTACATTCCCACCAACAGTGCAAGAGGGTTCCCTTTTCTCCACACCCTTACCATGTTTTGGTTTTTTTTTCTTTTTTTTGCTGTACACGGGCCTCTCACTGTTGTGGCCTCTCCCATTGCGGAGCACAGGGTCCGGAAGTGCAGGCTCAGCGGCCATGGTTCACGGGCCTAGCCACTCCACGGCATGTGGGATCCTCCCGGACCGGGTCACGAACCTGTGTCCCCTGCATCGGCAGGCAGACTCTCAACCACTGCGTCACCAGGGAAGCCCCTTACCATGGCTTTTTAAAGTCCTGTTTGCTAGCTCAATTTCTGGACTCAGCAAGCCATTGTGTTACTTATTTTCTCTTGTTTGTAAGCCTCATATTACTTTGTATGTCTTATGATTTGTTATGACATGTGGGACATTGTATGTGGAAGGGAACTGGAATATGAAATAGTCTCATTGTTTTAATAGTTTTAATTGGCTTGCTTGTTTCCAAAGGATGTGAGGTCTTTTCTCTGTCTGTTGGATACAACGAGGAAGTGATCATACTTCACCAAACATCATGTTGAACTAGAACCACACTGTTCTTTAATAGGCACGAGCTCCCCTCTGCTTAGGCCAACCTCAGTTCTTCCACACCTATAGTGATGCGCAGTAGAGGGACTGGTCTACATTTACTGTGTGTGATTGATCCAGAAGGAGGTGGGATTTGGCCATACTGGGCCCTCAGTCCCAAGCTCCATGACAATAAGCAAAACTGTGCAAATTGTTTTTCAGTCCTTGCTTCTCTACCTTTTTCTTTTTCTTATTTTTCCTTTTTTTCCCCTAGAAAGCTGGGGTTGAGCCGGGGATAATTATCAGGACAAGCAAATTATTATTTCCTTTGGCCCTCTTCCAGGCTCCAGTCCATATCACCATCTCCACTTTGCTAGCAGCTTGGCTGAACTCACTCACCTTGACCTTGAAGAGTCTAATATTCTTTGAGGAACTTTATCCTCCTGCTGCCGTGACTGCAGGACATAGCCTCTGTGCCCAGGAAGCTTGCACGGCTCTCTGACCACCTATGAAGATTCAACAATGCCATCTTGCATCCACCACTTGTGAATATTTTCATAGATCAGGAGTGCTTCCTCTGGACAAATTTTTCTTTGATTCTTTGTTACTTCCATTATCAAGGATTATCAGCATATGATATACGTTAAAATATCAATAAGGAACGTGAATAAGAATATAACCTAACATTAAGTATTTTCCGTAATAACATTGACCAACTGTGGGAGTAGCAATGCTTTCAACCATCTGCTTTATGCTTAATGTTCTGGATTCTGAGCAGGAAGGAAGGTATTTCGAATTGTCCCGTCTGTACAGCGTTACTAACCCCAGACTCTGTGAGG